CTCCATGTGAGCAGCGCTTACTTATACTTTACGATCTTTCAAATTTTCAAACGTATGTATAAGAACCGTACGCGACTTGATTTATTATTCAATTGTATAAGTGACGACATAAAAATTAATAGATGTGACATTTATGCCTATTTGGTATGCACAGAAAGATATTGATTCTTTTCATTGAATAGCCATAAATATGTATCTTGGACATTGACATGACTCAACTGGCTTTAGGAACGCGCGACAGTATATGTATGCATATCAGATATTAAGGAGCGTATCTACGTGGGATGTTAACAAAAATAATAAGTGAATATACTTTATGGTAGGTATAACCAAACCGCGGCGCGGCAGAGTCTCAATTCAAAAAATATTTCATCTTTAGGAACCAATAACAACCGACACATATTGCCTACCTCCTACTACCTAAACAGTTTTTTTACAGCTTAGATAAGTGTGATCATCTCGGTTGAATAAAGAATCCAGAAAGTCTGTGATATCCTGTTCTATTGAATTGAAATTATGTGCAACAGAAAAATGCGAGATCTCTCAGATCCATTTGCAGAAGCGTGTTGTGCGTAAGTTTTCTTCAGTTATACCGAAAATATCCAATTTGGATTGATCCATCCAGATCACGTTTATAATTTTGGCCCATTTAACTCAAAGAGATCAACACCTTTTGTCGGTAGTGCTGACGCAAACATTGGTCTCGCATGCAGAATCGAAATATCTGCTTGTCCTCCAGGAAGGATTAATCCAAAATCGAGAGTCTTCATACGATATCATACATAGTGCAAGAAGGTCCCACGACTTATTTTTTAAACCGTTTTGTTAGCAAATTAAAATTTGAGATGATACAATTATTACACGACAAATAGATAATAAAAATCACCATTTTTTCTAGGAAAATGCACACAAAAACAAAACAAAACAAAACAAAACCTTTACATATAAGTTCCAAAAAAAATTGCACAATCTTACAGCAACATCGCAGTGGTCCATATTATTTTAATTTACGTTGAGGGTCTTCGAAATGCTACCGAGGCTTCGCGAGTTCATGCAGATCGTTTTCAAATATCCTTCGTGATTTCTTTATTTGTTTGGGGCGAAATGAAATGTTGTGTTGTGTATAAAACTGAAGTGAACACGATTGACGAACTACGTGTGCGAATTTAGCAAAAAGCTACATTTATCCGGGAAAGGCAATCCATTATAAAAGAATATACTGATGCTTGAATATGTCAAGTACAAACATGTGTATCTGAATTTATCGCAGACAACTTAGAACAATACTTACAAGTGAAACAGCTGTAATTTATTTTCGATCAACGGTGACTACTTCTTCAAAACTTTTTTTTACTTGTTCGCTGTTGTTTCACCGTACAGTAGTTTTTTCTCAAAAGGAGAGTCCCAACGTTCGAGACATCTTGTAAATTATCGTGAAAGTGATATTTGAAAATTTCAAGACGGCGGTAGGGCGCCACCGTGGACAATGATTTAAATGTAACGGGGGGTCATGTGATACCTCATTTTGAAGCTCATTATGAGTACGTCATAACCCAAAAGTATCAGTTTACTATCTTTTAAAACGGCGGATTGGCGGGCTGTCGAAAGTTAAGGGTTATTGTATCGTACATTGAAATGCTTATAACTTGACAGCTCAACATCAACAGATACTCACCATATATTGCTCATAAACAAATACATCTTGGGAAAATCTATTTATGGCAAGTTATACATGACATTTGAGGCCACATTTCTAAAATATTAGCAATTATACAGGGTGTCCCAATTTTGACCTACATATCAAAGTTGTGATTTTTTAAATGGAATTCCTCAAGTTTTATTGCATATTTGGATAAACCAATTCAAAAGAAGGAGATTGATATAACATACTATGGGGTTTTGGTATTTAGCTACTGAGATTCAAGGTGTTTTGTCCAGAAAAATCGTCCACTTCAGCAACCCGTCAATCCACCATTTTGAAATTTGGAGTGCTGAATTTTGTATAACAAAAACTTACACACCTCAGCATTTATCTCCTTTGTTACTTTTTCGAATTTTCATTTTTGCTCATACAGGGTGGTCAACAACGCGAATTGTACTTTTTCTCAAAAATTTCAAATGCATCACTATGTATAATTGTGCAAGTTTGGATTCAATTTCTTATAAGCTTTTTTTTGGTATAAGGTTTGATTCAGATAAAGTCACTATATTTTGAGTTATTAAGCTTTTAATAGAACAATACACCGAAATTGAGGAAAAAAAATCACTTCATCCATGGAAACAAAAGACAAACAGTGGGCTAGTTCCATATTGCAACTAAGGAAAAAGGTTTGACGTAAAAACTAAGAGCAATCCGAACAGTATAAATCGGCTTCAAGTCAAGATATAGGCCTATCACGACCGATCCAACGATTGTTATTCCAGGTGTCCAAATAGTTACGCACACGATTATGATAATGCGCAGGTACGCCGTCATGTTGGAAATACATATGCATCCGATTTTGCAGGTTGACATCCTCCAAAAGCAAAGGCAAATGCTCGATCAAAAAATTCAAGCATTCTGTACCTGTTAATCTGTTGTCGAAATAGAAAGGCCCGATAACTTGTCTGCCAATAACTCCTCCCCAAACATCCAAGATCCATTTATTTGCCTAACTCAGTAAGGGTTTTCCGCCGCATAATAGTACATGTTATGCCTGTTGACAACACCTATGCTGTTAAAAGTTGCCTCATCGCTAAAAAGAACCATATCCAGGAAACTACGTTATTTAGCATTATTCTACTACACTCCATTCGAGCTGCGAAATCTTGAGGACGAAGGCCGTGATGCAAGCATAGGTGATATGGATTGTACCTATGCTTGTGAATAATCTTTTGGACAGAAGTTCGACATATATCAGTTTCTGCTTCAATTTGCCGTGCATTTAAATGGGAATTTTCCTGCAACTTTAATAGGACCTCCAACTGATTCGCCTCATTGGTGACACTGGGATTATTTATACATTTTTTACTATATTCCACTGCTCCACTTGATTCAAAACGTTCTCGTAGTGTGAAAATGTTTCCGCCCTTGGATGTCGCATATTAGGGTACCGTTGCTTGTAAATGCGAGATGCTAGGAAACTATTTCTTTGGGCTTCGCCCAAAACGAACACCATATTCACCATTTCTTCTTTAGAAAAACACGTTTTTATTATAATTCTGACAAAGCTAATTTAGACTGTAACTAATCAACAATTTATTTGTTGCCAAGGATGATGCGATATGTTAAAGAATTAAGCCGTTCCATAAAAGACGTGCTAATAACCGAAAAAATAGCCGAAAAACCCTTATGTGTCTAGTATCAAAAAAAAGCTTATAAAAAACTGAATCCAAACTTTGAAATTTTTTAGAAAAACTACAATTTGGGTTTTTGACCACCCTATATGAGCAAAAATTAAAATTCGAAAAAGCAACAAATAAGATAAAAGCTGAGGTGTGTTAGTGTTTTTTGATACAAAAATTCAGCACTCCACATTTCAAAATGGCGGATTAAGGGGTTGCCAATTAGGGGTGTTTTTCTAGACAAAACACCTTATATCTCAGTAGCTAATTACCAAAACCCCATAGTATGTTATATCCGTTTTCTTCTTTTGAATTGGTTTATCTAAATATGCAATAAAATTTGAGGCATTCTATTTGAAAAATCAGAACTTTGATATGTAGATCGAAATTGGGACACCCTGTATAATAGCCAATATTTTCGAAATCTGCCCTTAAATGTCGTGTATAACATCCCATAAATAAATTTTCCCAAAATGTATTTGTTTATGAGTAATATTCCGTCTACACATGGATGGGCCACCCTGTATATAACATAGGTTTTTATGATTAGTTGTTGAATTACAAGCAACTCAATGTACAAATACGCTTAAATTTAGCAGCTTCGCAAATCACCATTTCGATTGATAGTAAGCCTATACTCTAGAGTCCAGAGTTATAAAGTAGTCATAAGAGCTTGAAAATAAAATACCGTATGACACCCCATTCCATTTGAAGAAAGTGTCCAGTCGCCATCTTGGAAGGTCCAACTCTTTAACGCTAAAATATAGTATTTTTGCATCAGTTATCATTCCCAATTTCAGCTTGCTAAATTTCCCCGTTCAAAAAAGTGGAGGAGCGAAAAGTTAGTATAAGCGGCGCGGTCGGGAAGCGGCGATGCTTAACTGTGTAGCAGAAAACCGTTCTCAAGATATTTGTTCAACAAGAGATTCTCGTGGGAAGAAGACCTATGGGACCAGGATTCGATATAGGATGAAGATAACGATCAGAAACACTCATCAAGTTAAAACAAAGTGCATTATAAATCAGTTCTCAGTTCAGGTCTCCAATCTCAATCCGATCAAACGTCTTTGAAACGAACTTGATCGACGAGTCATAAAATGGGCACTATTTTACACTACTCAAAAATTGAGCCAGCAAGACAAAAATCCAAAGTTTTCGGTGACTCGGCTGTATTTTGGTGAAAAATAGTCGTATCTAGACTGTAAAAAGGCATTTTGGAGCTACAAGATTCTAGTTTTGAGGTTTTTTAGGAGAAAAATTTTACGATCAACAGATAGCGCACGAAATGTTTTTTTTTTTAAGTTTATGCCTTCTTCCTTTTAGTCCATGTGCTTGAAATTTCTTCTGTTAGGCCATCGTTTATCCAGCTTCAACATCCTGTTTTTAAAATCTCGATGCCGTCATTTGGAGCGGAAATATCTGACTCTGAATGAAAAAGGATCCTTTCGTCGTTGACCACTGATATCTCGGTAAACGGTGATCGCATAGAGAATGTAAGGGTATTTCCGAAAAGCAGAAAAAAAAGCCTATAAGATTTGAATGCAGTTCTTGAGGTTTTTTCCTTGGTGCTGATTTTAAAAAAGTAAAAGAAAGTCACTTTTTGCCTTGTTTTGGAAAATCGACCGCTTTTTTGGAATTACTAATGAGAATGATAATGTTTTCAGTTTTTTTTCTAGTTCGCTGTACCCCCAATAACCCTGCACGACGGTAAATCGATCCACTATGCTGTTTCTCCGGACCGACAAATTCCTAAATCCGCCTTTGAGGCCCCCAAAAAATATTTTCTAGATCCGCCACTGGTCAGTATTTTTTTTATATTTCATGAATAGAAGAATAAGATGTTTCCAACTGCTTTTTTTAAAATTGAAGGTGTTACACATATCCAATAGTGACAACAAAACAAGAAAAATGATTTTCCATTTTCAACCAGATTACACGATGTTTTGATACAAAAATTTTGCTCCTTTAATTTCTTTCAAATTTTGACCGATGCGTCTGGAGAAGCTGTTCAATGGATCAATCTGCTGTCGTAGAGGGTTATTAGGGGTACATTGAGGTATAATAAAACCTAAAAACATTAGCTGCCTCGTGAGCAGTCCCAAAAATGCGATCAATTTTCCAAAATAAGACAAAAAGTGACTTTTTTACTTTTTAAAATCAACGCTAAGGAAACAGAAAAACTTTCCTCAAATATTGCAAAAAAATCTTATAGGAGGTTTATTTCAGTTTTCGGGAATACCCTTACATTCTGTGTGCAATCACTGGTTACCGAGATATCAGTGGTCGATGACAAAAGTCCGTGGACTAAAAATGAGGCAAAAATATACAAAAAAATTGTTTGCGCATAAACACCAGTGCTCCTAAAATTTTTCGGCTAAAAAACCTGGAAACTAGAAGCCTCAAAATACCTTTTTTAGAGTCTAGATACGACCATTTCTCACCAAAATGCAACCTGTCAAAGATCACCGAAAAAAATTGGAGTTTTTTCTTACTCCCTTAATTTTTTTGAGTAGTGTATAAATACTGAAATAACTTGAAAAAGACGTAAAAACAGCTTTAAACGGCTAACCTTGAAGAGTTCTTTACGATAATACCAAGAACTGTGCTAAGTGTAAGTGAAAAGAGGATATTTCCACTAAAAAGATAAGTACAAGCGTTTCCTGTCATTTATCATACATGTCATACATGTAATCCCAAAGGATAATCTAAACAATAATCAGATTATATTGAAGTTATTCTTCCTCTTCTCCTTTCATTTCGTTTCCCAGCATCAATTGTCAAGTATCCTGAAACTTTTAAACGACAGTATTTTTTTTTTAATTAAGTAAATGAGTAGAGGTCGCTAATTTTGACGCTTAAATCTAACTTACTGAATATGATGCTGCTTTGTTTACTTCCTATGTAGATGCAATGTTCCTTTTGGTCATTTTCTTTTCATAAAGACATACGTGTTAAGTGCTTTCACTACCGATTTATTTTTTAAGGTATTAAGCGTGCCTAGTCACCACGATACATGTTTGCTTTTATGTACATGTGAATAGAAGATAATGCCTTGAGCTATTTTGCGAAGCAATGAAAGTGTGTCTCTGCTCACTTTTACTCTTGATTACCGTAAGTGTTGCTGCAAATACAATCTTGTTAAAAATATAAGTACATACCGCTTTTCAGGTTTGAAAACCGTATTTTGTAGACAAAAACAAGTACGTAATGTTTTATAGAACACAATACTAAAATTATGAGCCACTATTTCTGTTCTCTATGCTCGTCATAGTTGGACTATTGAAAAATCTCGCGCACGGTGCAGAAGTATTTTTCTTTTCGACTCGGCGACAAAAAGGAAGTGGACAAATGGGAATAACAGATATGGCTTTCGTGAAGTAAACGTCATAAAGCGTTGAAAAATGTATTTCATTTGAAAATTATTGCAGTCATTTTTGGAACAGCAACGTTTACCGGAAATTATATTCAGAGTGTTCTCACTGTTTTCTATGAAGTGCAAAGCTTGCCCTTTACCGAAAATTTCGCGCCAAAGCTATAACGTAATAGGTAGCGCAACGTCTTTAGACTGTAACTCAATTTCTACCATGGAGATTAGGCTCCTGTTATGACGTGTGGAAAATACCTTTTAATCTCTGATGTGCAAGATTGAGATGAAAGATATACTCACGTTCTATACGCAATCTGTGAAGAAATTGTACAATTTTTGTAGACGTCAGAAGCATTAGTGCACTATTTGGGTTTTAATGAAAAACTATTTCCTCGAATTGCAGCAATGAGCGTGTCCGTTCATGGTAGCCTCATTTCTTTGGAGCTCTGGTGTAAAACTGATTGTCAACAATATTTGATAGCTGATTATAATAGCTCCTCATATGTACTTATATACTATATAATATCAAATCACGAAATCAAGTAGTCTTATTAAATTACACTCCAAGCATAAAGCTTGTATATACCGATAAGATCACCTCGTATCAGCATATCGCGTCGCCGCGCTGTCTGCTACCTGCTTTTATAAGTCACTCGGATCCACTACCAAGGCAACCGATTGATACGCGATCCATGTGCTAAAAATATTTTAGTTTTAAGGACAAATTTACGGGGAAATATACGATGTGTGAAATATGTCTAATAGGTGCGTAGAATTGCCGAGGTTGGAAGTGTATTAATATACTAACATACAATACAATACAATATTATTACAAAGTGATGGCGATATATACAGTGGTTTTATGTATTACACTAAGATATAACATGTATAGTTTTTCTTATGTGGTACCTAATAACTTAATATCCGTATGCACCGATTTTTAAATAATGTGTAATGTAACATATTAATAATAAAATAGTAAAATAAATAAAACAAAATAAATCCAGTTCAAATAATCATTTGACAATCTATATAATTCTAATGTCATGCCAATTACTTTGTAGCCACTTAAACAAGGACAAAAATCAACCAACAGAATTTAAATTCCTAAAAGAAAACATAAAAAAATGATCAAAACATTTGCACATTTAGCTAGTAAAGAGCTCTGAACCTATCAAGGTTTGCCACAACAAATGATCTACACTCTGAATCAAACAATTTTAATTTATTTATCATCCTCAGTGTCCCAGGCAAAATGTTGTAGATTTTCGGACCAATATAGTCAATTGATCTTAAGTTTATGTTTGTGAAACTATTGGGTATTATTAGATTTCTATCAGCATTGTTTCTGGTTGAATAAGGACGACTAACATATTCTCCTATTAAAGGATTTTTATACATAAAGGAGCAGACTTCTAAAATATACAATGGTCTTACAGCAAGTATTTATTCACTATAAAGATGACAAGTAGGATATCTTTTGTTTTTTCTAAAAATTATTTTTAATATGTAATTCTGAATAGTTTTTAAAGGTTTTAATGCTGTCCCATATAAACTTCCCCAGACAATTATCCCATATCTGCGTAATGACTCCACTAGGGCTTTATAGACACAGATGAATAAGTGATTGTTTAAAATTTCTCTGATCATGTAAAATTTTCTAATTAGTTTTCGTGGATTGTTAGTTAACCTAAGCACATGTTGCTTCCATTTAAGATTTTGATCTATTATTGCACCAAGGTATTTAGTGTATGGTACCTCTTTTATTTCATTTTAAAAACCGTTTACTTATATGCTGTTAAAATTTGGTCGATTTGCAGATGTTAAGGAAAAGGCTATGTAATTAGTTTTATCCACATTTAAACTAAGTTTAGATGAATCAAGCAAACATTTTATTTTTTCTAATCCAAGAGATGTTTTTTCATATACCTCTTCCCATGTTTCCGCCACAAAGACCACGACGGTGTCATCAGCGTATGAAACCACCATAACATTTTCTAGAATAATATCTGTCAAAGAGAGTAATGACCAAACAACGGTGCCCTGTGGTATTCCCATTTCTATTTCTGACGAGTCACTGATCACATTTCCCATTTTAGTCATCTGTATTCTACCTGTCAAGAAACTCACCTCTGATCCCATAAATATCGAGGAGATCTATCAAATACCTTTGCAAGGTCTAGGAAGGCAGCAATGCATTTCTTTCCTTGATCAAGATTTTTGAAACGGTTCTTGTAAGCTTAAGTATCGCATCTGAGATAGTGATACCATTGCTAAAACCAAATTGATTTTCTGACAAAACATAAGACAATTAAATGAATCGCCAAAAAACGAAGGCCAATTTTCAAAGCTTCTTCGTCCTTGGCATCGTAGTAACCTTGTGTAAAATTTCTATCCAAATTCGAGCAGTACTTTCGAAGTTATATGATTAGCGGACTGACAGACCTATGGACAGACAGACCGATGAAAATAAGTGACATGGCCTTTCGTAATGTACATGTCATATAACAAAACATATCTCATTTCCAGAATTCTTCGTAAAAAACGAATGATATTGGTTGATTCCTTCGGCGAGAAATACAAAGGACTTGGTCGAGTTCTCTTGTAATGTGCAATTTTCAAAACGTTCTTTTTCAACCCGCGAGTGGAAAACGGAGATAAATTACATGACCTTAAAAAAATAAATGCCAACAAACCATTTCAGCTAATAAATGCATTTTTTAAGTGGAGATTACCGCATTTTGTAGAACATTTTTTGTTAGTTTTGTTTGTTTTTATTTGAAGTTAGCGATATTTACGGTCACACTGCGATCCTGTATTAGTAATGGTGAATATTAGATTGGGGGTAATCAAGAAGGAGAGGTAGATGGCGCTGGTTAAGTTGGCGATCATACCTACAGTTAAAAACAGCTCATTCTTCTTTAAAATCTATCTTTTCCCATCTAATTTCGACAATTTCACCCATGAAACATCTGTTTAGCCTCCAACCACAGTAGCGGGGACTTGGGTAGCCCAATGTGGGTCGCGGGATCCGTTCCCGGTGTTGGAAATAACAATCCGAGTCATGGATGTTGTGGTGACGAATCTGTGTCTATGGTATGGCTGCAAGCCAGAATACCCAGGACACTACAAATTGAGATGGTTCGGTCTGCGAGAAGCGCAGAAAATAAATGATATGTGAATATTAATAACACTAGTGGTACCTAGCTTGGACATCGCTGCCATTGTCGAATATATACTAAGTGACATATAAATCCGAACACCCAGTTTAAATGGTTTTATTTTAATAAAAGTTGGTGAATGTATTTATCTTACTGTAAATAACAAGTGAACAAATTTT